AATGGATATCAAGCCAACGTTCTGAGCGTCCACCTGCGCTTTCAGCGACTTGGAATGTATAGGTATCGATTATCGATGAAAACGTTGATGACCCTCGAAACGTTTAAACCGCTGGCGTCCCTCAAAAAACAGGATCCATGACTATACCTCCCTAGTCGCTCGAAACGCTGGTGGACACTCAAAATGATGGATCGATACCTATACTTTCCCGGTCGCTTAGAACGCTCAAAACGCTGCCGCAAAGTATGAACGCACTCCTGTAGCTGCAGTTCTGTTAGGTTAGGACTCTAAACACTGAAGAGGGTAACACTTGCGACTAGAAGGATGCAAAAAAGGGTAGCTATTCGAACCACAACGCCGTTCGTAGCTCTTAAATAATGTACTGGTTAACAGGAGCTACTTTGTGGAGATTCCCCTTTAACTAGAACCTGGGCTCGTAACTGTAAGAGATTCTTGAAGCTGTTTGTTGTAAAGTCCTAGTTTTCAATAAATAACAATTAACTGAACTTCAAACAACAGGTAGAGCTATATGTACTGACTCTGAGAGTTGAGATTCGAAAAATAACTGCAGAAATGTGTTATAATACAAATATCCCTGCCTTCTTCATCCACATGACCATATTCACACAATCCTGACGACGATTAGGGTCACCAGAAACAGATGGGATGGCCACGGCCTCTTTAAGATTAGCTACAAATTCATTTTGTCGATCATCTATGGCACTGAAATGAAAAAATGAAAAACTCGTCTGGATTTACGATAAATAAATGAGTAGTAGACGAATAGTAACGAATAGAAAGTAGTGGAGAGGAAACTCACGCGAAGAGAGCTCTAACAGTTTCCTCAGAAACTTTCATGGTTGCTAGTGATCCTGAATAAAGAAGTTTCTGAGTAATTACCTTAAGTAAAAACATACAAGTATAAAAAGTAATATGCAGAGAGCACAATGTTCACGAAGTGGACAGCAAAGGTAAAGGATAGTGTCCGAGAAGGAACGCTGGAGGTCAATTGTCAATCGATACTTTACTGTCTCTTGTAAGATGTAAGAAATTAAATTAATCACATCCAACTGTTAGGCAGAACCTCATACGACAGCATTTGGAAAAAGGTCATGACCCAGTTTGAACCCATTTGACTGCCTTCGAAAAAAATCGAGGAGAATTTCATTAACAAACTCATCTTATAAAACTATTTAAAAATAATACTCACGTATTGGAACACGAGCAAACTGAGCAAACCGGGAGATTCGGGAGAGAATGGTAGCGGAGAAATCGAGTGTTCGAAACACAAGATTGATTTTTGAAGAATTGTGAACACCCGCCCGTGAACATTACATCATGCGAAATATTGCACAAAGATTAAAAATCAGAGCAAAAAAAAGGAAGCAAAGAGGTTCGTTGTTTTAGAAAGTTATGCAATGGGAAGATATCAAGATCACTATAATAATGCCCTGGGATAGCAAGGAAACTAACTAGTAATCACCATTCTATTCATAATTCTCTGAAACAAAATTCAATAATTTTCGACAAAAAGCATAATGGATTACCATGACAGGCAAAGTTGCAGATGAATAGAATGATGGAAATAGTGTGTGACGTGGACAAAATGTTAATCAGCCATGCACGCACGCTAAATCGCATACCACTTATAAACTGTAACCTGTATGGTTTCACGGACGCCTATTATGTCCTTGAAATGCAAGGGTCAACTTTATACCAACTCTTGCTATTTCACTCCCTTGCTACCATAAAGAATTGCCAAATATAATTGTTAGCTAACAGCAAGGATCCATCAGAATATGGTTTTTGTGAAAAGCTCCCGCATGATGTATGAGTTCATACAGTTTTGTTCGCTGCGGATGCTGGGGCCTGTCAGGGACTGAGTTTGGCGCGGTGCCAATCCGTTCTCCACCAATCATGGTCGCTCCCAACTTTAAATCAGAAGCAGAGCGAGGTTCGTTTTCCTTGAGCATTGCAGAAAGCGTTTGCAAAAGAAGAGGTGAAAAAGAGAAGCAGTTCAAAGCTTTTTTCTGACTGTGATTTCAACATATAATAAAGAAGACCTCATACGATGCCGTAATTCACAAGAAGTCGAACGTAGAAACCATTCTTTATTCTTCTAATAGAGAAGAGTGGACACCCATACTTTTCTTGAACACATTCCGCCACTATCAGTTGTGTATTGTTAGTCCCAAAGGGCAATTTTTCTGAAGAAGGCGTCAACGCGCGCATTGGTCAACCAAAACCTCTCTCACTACGAGAGTTCGGACGGAAAGACATTTTCTCGCTGTAGAGTGCGCCCGAGACCAAAGAGAGGATAAGCAATCAACGGAGCAGTGACGGTGTGAATGAAAGTGGATGCAGACAGTACGACAACATGCTGGGCACTAGCGATCCCCGAGTGCGGTGATCTATGCCGCAATTTTTAAAGGCAGTTGGCACGATGATTGTACTCGGCCTAAAATGCTAGTAGGGCGCTATATAGTGGGGAAATGGCGAAAGAACGGAGTGAAACGGTCAAAATCCTGCGAAGAAAGAGCCTCCGTTCTCAGTGTGTTCAAAATCAATTTTGGACGAGTTCCCGTACGCGTAGTGCCAATGGCTGATGCCGTTTGGACTCCAGAAATTTCGGCACCGAGCTCATTTTTAAATTGCCTAAGTCACCAAATCCGCTAAAAACTTGTATATAGGGGTAGTTTAACATCCTGATTACGAATATGACATTCACTCTTGTCGCTGGCGCCAAGAGAGGACACTACGATTACCTCCTGGGCTCAGCCTTAGCAGAGCGCAGATAATCGTAGTGTCATCCATTAGCGCCAGCGACAAGAGTGAATGTCATATTCATCAGGATGTTAAACTACCCCTATATACAAGTTTTTAGCGGATTTGGTGACTTAGGCAATTTAAAAATGAGCTCGGTGCCGAAATTTCTGGAGTCCAAACGGCATTAGCCAGTGCCAATAACCGCAAGCGAAGGTACGGCTGCATATGTGTACTCATATATCCATGCAGCATCACGGCCGCTTCATACCAATCCCTTCGCTTCATAATTTGCTTAGCAAATGAATCGATTAGAGCGTCAGGAACGGTCGTCCATTTGTGGGCGGGCGGGCGTGGCGGGCGTTTGGGTCGGAATGTTGTGGCTTGATAGGGCCCTTATAAGGGCACCTTCCTTGGAAAAGGCATTATGCTCGCCGGGCACCTGCTCAGGGTCGCGGAATACCGTCCTGCCAGGCGTATTAATCCTACTCGTCTTGGGAGGATTTATCGTGCCAACTGCCTTTAAAGACACATGGTACGCTCAAACACATTGAGGGTGTATGAGACTATCAGCCCCCCAGCTGTCGATGTGTCGTGGTCCCCCCGCCAAACATGCCCAGGAATGGAGATACAGGACCGTGGGAAAGGCTTATTCCTTGCTACTCCGCCCAAAATTCACCGCGCGCGAGTTGCATTTCGCCGCGCGCGCGGTGAATTTTGGGCGGAGTAGCAAGGAATAAGCCTTTCCCACGGTCCTGTATCTCCATTCCTGGGCATGTTTTTGAGCGGGGGACCACGACACATCGACAGCTGGGGGCTGATAGTCTCATACACCCTCAATGTGTTTGAGCGTACCATGTGTCTTTAAGTAAAAATCATCACTGTTTACTCTTCTTGCTCTGAACGCCCAGGCGTTGTTCGAGGGTGCGACTTTAGCGAATTCAGAGAATCCGCGAAAAAATTTGGTACCGACAGCGATAGTAGATGGACCGAGCGGGCGAATATGGCGCCCCTGCGAAAGGGTTAGATACTTATCCGTTTTATTGACTCCCATTAAGCAAAGAATAAAGGATGAAGTGACAGCCAGGTGTGCCGGCTCTCTCCGCCAGTCCTGCTCATTGAATGAATCTAACCCTCTCCGCTGTGATGCCAAATTCACCCGCTCGGCCTGCCGACCCTTCCTATCGATATTTAATGAAGTCTTCCCGTGGAAGCGCACTTTTCGCCGATTCCGCAGGGTTGCAGACTAAGAACAATGGTTCAGCGCTTGGTCCTGGTGTTGTATGGGGCAAATGGATCTAAAGGTGCAGCAGCGTGTCGCTTTCTCCGCTCAAAAGTGCATTGGAATGGGGCTGTAGAGTAAGGAGTGGTAGTCCTCCATACTACGCCCGCACGCCGAACCCCAGCCACGCGCCAGACGCACTGCTTGTCTGCACCTCTCACTTCCTTGGTTGTTCTCTGCCACTGAGTGAGTGTTTCGCTGTGGGACCTTGGCAACGACGCAAGTGCCGCACTTCAAAGGCACCGTCCTTGGATGTGAGTGTACGGTTTGTCTTTGGGCGTGGGTAGAGGCCGAAGAAACATGTTAATCTGGTTAAGTTCATCAAGCTACTAAAGAAATTGGAATCATGCAAACTATTGCAATATACAGCGAAGCAAGAGTTAAAGGTTTAGCAACTGAGAACTCTTTGAAGGCCATTAAATGTCAGCGATTGACTATTAAAAAGTTTTTTTTTCAGTTCTTCGACTGCGACGCAAACGATCAAACCTTATGTAAATTTATCGGAAGAACGAAGGCACCAAGAAAATTTGAATTCTGAATTGACAGTAGAAATATAAGCAACTTATAGAATGGCGATTAACGGTGGACGCAAATGCTAATGGGGATTGACAGTGAAGAAATGGCCATGGATATTTGCACAAGAGCCCTTCGTTTTTTCCTTGCACACTGTAGAGATAACAGGTAATGCAGAAGATGATAAGAGACCTTGGACTGTGCTTGAACGGCACGATAGTCCATGTGTTTGGTAAAGGGATCGACCTCGTGTGTAAACTGAAGCTGCCTAGCGTTCCAGAGATATTTAGGAGCTTTATATGTAAACAGTGCCATTGATACCATTATACAACGGGCAAAGAATAATAATGTCAGCGATGAAAGGGTCGGAGAGCTTCTTGTCCCTTGATCAGACCACCCAGTGCTTGCCTTTTGACAGTCAGGTTGGCTAATAATTTCTGGGACATGGTGTGCGTGTGTGTACGTACTTCACTTCTAGACTATTTAATCTCTTGTGTTTAGTTTTCAATCACCGACGTACCCTCCATAAGTATCCATGCCATGCTGCCAACGTCCAGGTGATTTGCTGATTCCCTACTTCTTCAAGCCCTTGAACTTGAAACAAAGTCCATTCTGTGATCGTCTTGATCCGACGCCTTTCGAGTTGATGAGCCAAAGATGAAATGAGGTTGTAATGGTGCGAAAATATACAGTCCTCATCATTGCGGACCGGTGGGGCGTGGCAGTGCGGCTGCATTTGGTGCGGTTTGGCAAAGTCGTTCTGCACCAGTTTTTGAAGCGAACAAGTGCATTACTGTATAATATCCTTCGTATTACTCGTTTTCTACCACTT